ATATATATATATATATATATATATATATATATGTAATTGATATTAATTCAATTGTCTTTATTAAACGGGAACATCACTATTTCAGTTGTAAATTATTATAAAAACAGTATACAGGGAGATTCCATGCAATCCGATTACCTATGCAAAGCCAAAAATTGTACATAATACAATTAAAATTAATTCTATTATCCACGGTATGTTATCGATATTAATCGAATTGTCATCGCTGTTTTTAATTGGAAATTATTGTAACAATACAACACAATATACGGTGAGTTTCAATGTAATCCGATGTCGCGGTGCACGTTAAAAAGCCCAAAAAATGTCCGCTCATTAAACCTCGCGGTCTGATATTAATCGTTTAACCGCAATTCGATGCTATTATTTTACATTTCCACGCTTTTGACGGATAAAGCGGATAATGACATTTCGGGGCTTTCCGGCCGCGATATTGTCGTTTTGATGCGATCTAACGATTCCATACAAGTATGTACGAATCGCATATTAACGATCTGAACGCCATAGTGGTTTAACATATTGTTTCAATTAATTAGGTTCGATTTCCGAACAAGCGAAATTAACGGAAAATTTAATATCATTTTTCGTTTTTGCTAATATTATAAATGTAAAAACGAGTTTGTTTGTTATCTCTTGTCGGTTTAACCGCTGAAACAATCGTCTTAAAATTTAGCATACACGCACGCAGACACGAGAGAAGTCACGAGTAAAAGCTAATGATCTATCGTCATTATCATCATATTAGCTGTTTACTGCTTACTGAACATAGGCCTCCCCCTTGAAGGGTTTTGCCAGTAGTAGCCACGTTTAGCAGGCGGGTTGGCAACCGTAGTTATGGTTTGGTGGTGTTAAGAGAGACGATACTGTCCATCCCATTAAATTAATTTAGCGACCATTTACGACACCCACGAGAAATGAAGGGATGGCCCATTCTCTGACTAATGATTAATAATTACAATAATTCTAAGACTAGATGACTAATATTTATAACTAGCGGCCCGTCCCAGCGTCGCACGGGTGGACAATTTTACATTTAAAAAAGTGGCCATTAAGGCTGCACACGCGACGGAAGCTTAAAAATGGAATAACTTCTCCCGTTTTCCCAACATTCCCCTTCACTGCTCTGCTCCTATTAATCGTAGCGTGATGAAAAGTATACTATAACCTGCCCAGGTGTATGAAGAATAATTGTACCAAGTTTCGTTAAAATCCGTTGAGTAATTTTTGTTTCTATAACGAACATATAGACAGACAGCCAAAAATTTTACTGATTACATTTTTAGCATCAGTATCGATCACTAATCACCCCCTGATAGTTATTTTGGAAATAAATTTCATGTACAGAATTGACCTCTCTACAGATTTATTATAAGTATAGAAGATAGATAATAGTAATCTATAAATTCTATAAAAAAAATTAACATCAAAACATCATATAACTTTAACAGACGGTATTACCTAACCAAATGCCTTGGGGGGAAAGGATTGTTAGCAATGGAGTTTGACAGCCCCATTGCTAGCAATATACCCTATATATAGGTCAACCTCCACGTGGTTCCCCCTGGAAACCATCGTGAACAATTCTTGTTGAATTCGTCACGATGGGCTAACTGACCTGCTTCATCCCCACCTATCATTCTTCACTAGTGCCCCGCCGGTGTTTACCGATAGCGCGGGTGGGGCTACCATTCCATTATCATCCATTAAAAAAAACCAAATGCCTTGAATAAACCTTTAACATACTCGTATAAAATCGTCAGTTTTATTCAGTCACACCATTCAATTTGTCATATCCAGATCCGCAGTTAACCACATTTAATGTGGTTGCAACTAAACCGTCATACTAAACTGTTTACTAATAACCTGTCCAAATATGACGACTCTGTCGTTCGAAACTGATTGAAATTGGTTGAATTATTAGAATAGAAATATAGTATGTATTAATAAAGAATAACAGTGTTTTTTATTTCTTGAACAAAGAGAGCTCTCTCTCTTTGTCTGATGTTTCTGTTGTCACGTTAAAATGTTTAATTTTTATTGAAATTCATATGAGATATAGATTAAATAAATAAGAGACAAAAGTGCAATTGGATGGTGCACCATTATCTACTGTTCAACGATAGAATAGATATTCCTGCAACTTTCAGCCGTTGTTCTTTGTACGCACCCCAACGCTGCACCTGTACTACTCAGTTTGCTCGCAGTTATCAGGCTATTTCTTTTCTCAATTCTTAGATAATGATAGTTTTAATGAAAAATTAGATAGCTTTTCTAAATGTTGTTTAAAATTTTTTAATTAGTATAATGAACTTAGGGCTCATTACACGTTTTGGGAAACTGTAAGCAAAGTAATCAATTCAGTAGTTATTTATTAATTTATAAATAAATAACCAATAAATTGCACGACAACCACGGAAAATAAAAATAATAATATATAATTTTTTTTTGTACTACTTAGAATAGCAAACAAGCTAACGGCCCACCTGATGGAAAGTGATAACCGTCGCCTATAGACATGAGCAATACCGTGGATATAATAGAGTATACTGTTTCGCCCATGATACCCCCATGCGTTGCCATTCCTGAGGAGTCAGGTGTATATACCCCACCCTTCAAACCGAAACACAGCCATGCAAACACAACTGCTTTACGGTTAAAACATACATACAATAGGATTTCACTGTACATTAGTTTATTAATTTAAATAATATTATGGACCAAAAGAAAATACGGTACAAAAGGCGGACTTAATGCTAGTAGCATTCTCTACCAACCAACCATTAAAAATATAAATAAATAAATAAATTTATATCTACTTGACAAACAAATCTTTTTTAAGTTGCTTTTAATGTTTAAAAAAAGAAGTAACAAACCGATACGAGTTTATACGTGAGGGACGCAAAATGTAAATTTCAATGTCCGTCCACGGGCGGCCGGTGTTCCTATTTTGTCAGCAAACACGTTTTTAATTAATACGGTTATTTATTTGCGCTACGCCATGACGCTACAGCACTATTCATCAGTTACAATTCATTTATACTTCGCAATTGTTTTGTAAAGAGCTACAACAGTCTCTGAGTGAACAAGTGATGACAAAATATACCTAGAACGTCGTAAGAGACAAATAACAAAACAAAGACTAGAACTAACTCGAAAAAGAAACTGAAAGTTTTCTAAACGTATTATTTTATGTATCGCCATGTAGGTACCGGCATAGAATGGGCCACCCCTTCCTTTTCCATGGGTGTCGTAAGAGGCGACTAAAGGAACCTAATGGTTGAGTGATGGGCAGCAGTGTCTCTCTTAAAACATCATTAAAATCTTAACTACGCCAATGCCAACCTGCCCGCCATGCTTGGCAACTACTGGCAAAACTCGTCATCAATGTCGCAAAAAAGTACCAAAATCAGTACCAATTTTGAGAAATGTATAACGTTATTTACATAAAAAATATAGTCGAGTTGAGAACCTGCTTCTTTTTTAGTTTTTTTTTTTTTTTAAGAAACTTAGAATACTGGCAAACGACAAACCTAATTGAAAATAGTTACCGTCTAATATAAACATGAATAGCATTATGTACTTCGTAAAATACTCTGAGATACCCATGACACCTCTCATATATTGCCATTCTTAAAGGACTACTGTGTCATGCCTTCTGAATATGCCTGTAATTCCATTTCCCCCACCCTTCCAATTGGAACACAATCATACAAGCACAGCTGTTTACAGTAGAAACATTAATGAGAACACCAACAGCATGTTGCATTATATCATATATAAAAAAAACATTAAATTAATATAAAATGTATAATATAGTATATGTCATATATGTGTAAGTATATTTGTTATTCATATATATTTATTCGTTTATATATGTAATTTTAGTATTTATGTTTATCAATAATTAGTAGTACCGCATTCGAGTATTCTGACACTTCCCTATGGTTGACTGGGAGAGAATACTTTTAGCATTAAGTCCGCCATGTACACATATTTGTACTAATGAATAAATAAATAAATAATGCACCTAACATAATTAAACAGTATGAAAAGAAATAGACATATCATTGCATTCACAAATAATGAAACAAAATCTAGTTATTAGAGCAACTAACAACAGCGTTATTACTATTAAAGCTACTGGACTCTAAAGGTTGATTAATTTGATTCTAGGAAACATTAATTTACAGTACACAGCGATGCATAAATCATTTCAATACGAGTATTAGTATAAAGTTTGATTACTAGTGCTATTAACTATTCTGTGGTTTGGTTTAAAGATAAATTAGCATATCTATTATACGAACAAAACATACGTATGTTTATATCTATAACAAGAAGCAAAGTATATACTTCTTAGAGACCTCCCTTAAACTCCATTGTCAAGGCCACAAATACTTTTTCCTCCACAAAGGAAATTATCTGACCAGTGAAAATAATATTCGGGTACTATAGACAGACAAATATATCTAAACTAATATTATGAAGAGAAAAGATTTTATTTTTTCTTACAATAATCATCATCGTCTCGATCATTATCTGTCCACTGCTGAACATAGGCCTCCCCATAGACTGTCACAAGGAACGGTTTTTTTGCAATACTTTTATACTATTTGTAAAGACATTAATGACATCAGTTATACATAATACTTATACATATATACAATGTATAATACACTTCTATAAATAATAATATGTAAAAGTATATAAACAAATCTGAAATTAATACATACACCAACGACAATGTTAATCATGCGGCAGTAAAAAGGTAATGTTAACTAAGTTATTACTATACTAGTTTTTAACCATAACTTCGTCCGCATGTGCGTAATACTCGTATGTTATGTAGCCTATGTCATATTCCATCCCAAATACTTAATGCATACAACAAATTTTATTACGATAGCTATGGTAACAAACTTATTTTTAAATGTATAACATTAATAAGTGTTTCCTGGTAATCGAACGCTTTTAATTTACAGATCCACAACAAGGAATGGTGCAAAAAAGGTCGAAAAGGAGGGCACTGCAGCATGAAATGCGAAGGTACTCACTGCTAACACAATTAACACCTCAACTCCGTTCCGCACCTGTTCTCGCTAAATACGAGATTTGTGCTTTTCATTACTTTAATCTGTGTTCCGAAGTTATTTATCACTACTAAGTAAATTGCTACTTCTATTAATTACGCCTATTTGAAGATGTAACTGCTCGTTTCGAAATGTTTCTTTTAGGTTATCTGCCTAACTATAAATACATTCGGGGGGAAAGAGATTGTTAGCAATGGAGTTCGACATTGCTAGCAATGTGCCCTATCAGGTCGACCTCCACATGGTTCTCTCTGGAAACTATCGTGAACAATTCTTGTTGAATTCGTCACGATGGGCTAATTGACCTGCTTCATCCTCATCTATCATCCCTCACTGGTGCCCCGCCGGTGTATACCAATAGCGCGGGTGGGGTTACCATTCCATTATCACCCATTAAAAAAAAAAACTATGAATACATTAGCTAAGAGCATTATTTCAAATGTTGTATATGGAAAAGAAAGCATGTGTTTGTGAAGATGATGGATGTTTATTACTCTTTCATACAGAAACTACTGAATAAATTTAAATGAAATTTGGTACACGGATAGATTATGTCCTAACTTACAACATATAGAATGCTTCATACACTGATTCACGCGGACGAAGTCACGGGATACAGCTAGTCAAACTTATAGTAATATGTATAACCCATCACGTATTTTTATTATAAAATATTCTGTCTCACTTTCTTAACTATTTAAAAATAAAGAAGTATTTCTAATAGTTTTTACATACTTAAGTCATTTATTTATATCAAATTAGAACATAATCATAACAACGTGCCATAATTTTTATATGTAAAGTGTAAAAATTGTATACATCATATTCTAAAAAAGGTAACTTAAGTACATATATATCAATATTAAATAAATAAAAGAAACAATTTTATTTTTTTCTTAAAAAAAATTAAAACATGGTAAAGATAAATTAATAATAAATTTATTTTATTTTATCTTTCTCGTTTATTTAGTTTAACAGTAATTACATCAAACAATTTTGTATAAGTTGTGTATTTTTCTTTCAGATCTTTTAAACGTAGACCTGGCAGACGATGTCAGATGTGCTAAACGCATTTACGACAGAGTGGGATTCAAAGCTTGGCCAGTGTCCTACTCGTATTGCAAGGAGAAAAGTCTACCAGATTTATCCAGATGCTAATATGAACTAGTTATATAAGTTTGCATAAATATTTGCTCATATTAAACTAAGTTACACATATTTTTTTAATAAAATAGTATTATCAATTTTATTGCTGGCAAGATTAAATTTATTCACTGTTGGCAACAATCATTCCTAATATATATATTCGTAGACATATTATAAACTAACGTTATAAAGCATATTTTAATTTTCGCAACAATGTATTAAATAATTTCTAGGTAAAAATCAATTACAGCGTCATTTTACAATAAATAAGAAATACTCATAGATTATTATAGATATGAACTCATAGACTTTTGCGATACATGGTTTATAGTTAATAAGAGCCGGGAATTAATTAACTTTTTTTATTAATTATTATAGATACATGTTTTTATGAAAGAATAACGGATTTTCAGTACAAGCATCCAATTAAGTTTATATTTAGTACCTAACCATTTATAATTACACATTTTTTATCGACTATGCGCAACCTTTCACTGAGTAATTTGTATAAATAAATGAATTCAGCTAATTAGTTGAAGTTCTTTGTAACTTTTATCTATAGAAAATGTTACAAGACATAGTCCTAGAGCTGGGTAATTAGTGAAAAAGTACATTTAGCCGGTAAAATAAGGTTGTTGTTTAATACCTAGTTAGTATTAGTTGAATTCTATTTCATTAGTCTTATAATCACGTTCATTAACAATATTGGGTGTCTTTTGTAATATCTTTTTTCAACGTGTCATTATAAAGAATGAAAACGATATCATTAACATCAAACAACAACTTTTTTCTCTGAAAATAGAAGTCAAAATTAACAAATGTTCCTAATTAAAGAATTAGCTATGTTATTTAAAAAAAATTAGAGTGACAACTTTGTATGTTGTACAGGACGACAAATATGGCTACAGTGACCGTTTACCTTCAGACTGTATGCTTGTTTGCCACCTTCGTGGTATAGAAAATTAATAAATTAAATATATCTCTAAACTTAAAATTTAAATTTGATATCCCAGCAAAATCTTTATTGTAAGGACCAACATAAACTAAATAATAATATAAAATTTAATAAAACCAATATAAATTTTTAAAACAGATTTAAGTCAAAATTATTATAACTTTTGTTTATGATGGTCCATAAAACAAGAAAAGGGCACCTCAGAATCGTTCCCTATACATACCTACTCTCTTATTCTGTTAAGTTTAGTATTATATAAGTACACTGCCATAGATTAATTTTTAATGTTTTATATAAAATCTATTATTATATTAATGATTTTTGTTGTATACAAAATTCAAGTAATACATATAAATATGTGAATAATAAACGAATACTGCATAATATGTTTGTGATTAATTTAATCTTGGAAATTAATTAAAGGAATTCAAAATGGTTAGAAGTTATAGAATATACTAATAGAAAATCTGTAAACAAATTGTAATAATAAGAGCTCCTTCACTCCCTTCCAGTTTAGTAAACCATTTAACGCCTGAGAGACTTATTCTAGTGGATTAACCTGGATGCACATTATTGCTATATCTAAACGTGCAGGCGCTCTATACGTTAACGATGAATCCTCTCAAAGCTTACATCTTATTTGAACAGCAAAAAGGTTGGCAGAATTATGTTAGAAAATCCTGCGATGCATTTTTAGCTTATGAAATATATATTATAGTTATTTTACTGTATACACACAAGCTGACGACCTACTTTGTAGAAAGTAGTAACCAACGCCTATAGACATGAAAAGTACCATGAACTACATATAACACTTTATTATATATTTATTATTATAATGCCTAAAATGTAATTTTTAATAATTGCCTGCTTTGTCTTTCAATTATATAATAAAACATTGTGGTTGATTCTATGAGACCGTCCTCTAAACCTATCAAAACCTAAGATATGGTAGTATAGAATCGACTCCTAGATAATTTATTAAAAATATAATTATTAATAAAGAATAATAAATACGAGAATGTCTCTATAGATACAATTATATTTTCTGTTGTGAAAATACAGGTACTTATGAACACAAACAGTCTACATATAAAACACTTGTTAACTAACATTTAAGCATCTACACTGTAATAAAAATTTAAGGTTTGGTACAAAATTATATAGACTACATACCATAGCGAGATATATTTGACATTATTTTACCATATATGATTGCTTTACGCTTCAACATATCTGATGGCAAGGAATTAGACCGGCTCCCTGCCAGCACCGGCCCACGTAGTAGCCACGGACCTCCCAGACTATAGCGAAATATCGATTCAGTTCAATTAAAAATATACATTATAATTATACCAGACACTGGAAGTTAGATTTGTTTTTTTTTTTTTGGTTCATTCGTTCCTCAAAGAAACAGGCAAAGGTCGAAGACCATGCTGCCAAGTCTTATATGTAAAAAATGAGCTGAAATTTAAGTTCACAAATAATTTCTGGAATTGCCATCTTCTTTAAATCATTAATATGTTAAAAAAAAGGTAATATCACAACCATAAGTCATTGACAGAAAAACAAACCAGTTTTTGTAAAGTTTTGTATATCACAATGTTAGTAAAATAGATTTAATTTTTTTTATCTATTCAAAATATATCAATAATTAACTACATCATATCTGCTGAACTTAGCCCCCCCCCCCCCACCCCTATGAAAGGGGGTTTTGCCAGTACTTGCCATTCTTAGCAAGTGGGTTGACTATCGCAGTTAGGCTTTAGGATGTTTTGAGAGAGACGCTGTTACTCAACCTTCACTCATTTAATTCCCTTTTTTTTGGGTGAAAATGATAACCCCGTGTGCGCTAACAGGATACACTGGCAAAGCACGAGTGAAGGGTGATGGATGAGAATGAAAACATGCCTGTTAGCCCATCGTGATGAATTCATCAAGAATTAACCATAATAGTTTCCAAGGAGCATCGCGAGGAGGTCGACCTGGTTGGGTATATTGCTAGTAGGATTCTCAGTCTCCATTACCAACAATCCCTTTTCCCCCCATTTAATTCCCATATAAGTCCTTCCCCTTTAAGTCCTCACGTTCCCCCCCAATTAAGTCCTCACGACACCCATAGAAAAAAAAGTACAATTATATACATAAACATAAATATCAAATCCCACACGCGGCTTATTCCGCGCTGTCTGTATATTTATAAGTACTTTCAAACACTCGAAATAAAATATTTGTATTAAATAGTACGTTAGTGTGTGTAAAAATAAATAAGTTTTCAGAATAAAACGTAATGTTTGTATAACTGAAATCCGTCGCCGAAAATACTCACAGGTTTTGAGTGTGAGCTAAAACTCCGTCGCACCTCGTCTCGTTACAAATTTCAAAGCCCCGGATATTACGAACGACGTACGTTTATTTTCAGTTTTATTGGGGTACCTTTGTGAACATTAAAAGTGTATTTTATTTTTTAAATACTATAGTAGTTTGTGTTTTCTCTTAATTGATTTATATATGTATTTTTATAAGTTTACTAGCTGATCTAACAAATGTTTTTTAAATTTAGAATAACAATCAAGTTAACGACCCGACGACGATGTGATAATAAGTGGTAACCTTCCTCTATATATAAATAGTATCATGGGCACAACAATCAGAGAGGGAGACTTTGTACAAAAGTCGATTGCTTGGGTACCTCTATGCCATTCGTGTTTCTACCGTGAAGCAGTTGTGTTTGCATGGCTGTGTTTCGGTTTGAAGGGTGGGATATGGCGAGAATTTACAGGGGACAGAGGAATAACACCTGAGTCCTCAGGAATGGCAACTCATAGGGGGTATCATGGGCGAAACAGTATACTCTGTTATGTCCATGATACTGCTCGTATCTATAGGCGACGGTTATCACTTTCTATCAGGTGGGCCGTCAGCTTGTTTGCCATTCTAAGTCGTATAAAAAAAATACCGTCATGTTTATGGCACCCCTCATATATTTCCATTTCTAAAGACGAAATAGTATTTTTAGTTTTGAGATTTATTTAGATAATTCATTACAAGCAAAAAAATCAATTCTTTCCTCTTTATATAATTGATTTAGATATAAACAATGTACTTATATTGCTGGAGAGAGCTATGCTCGGAGTATTTTTGCGTGATAGAATCCGAAACGAGGATATCCGCAAAAGAACCATTGCTTTGGTTCTTTTGCGTTTTTGGTTCGACATAGTCTGAAGGATAAGCAAGCTGAATTGGCAATGGACTGATCACATAACTCGAACAACCGACAACCGATGGGGAAGGGATAGGGCAAACGCACTGTAAGACAATCCCTCGCTAGATGGAGTGACGACCTCAAATGCATTACAAGGAGTCAGTGGATGCAGTGGCACTGGATGGTGGCGGGTGTTGACCGTTCTTTATAGCAGCATATGGGTGAAGCCTATGTTCAGCAGTGGACAGATAATGACTGAGATGATGATAGTTACATTCTAAAATGAACATAAAAAAGTGAACACCCACTCCCAAAATTAAATATACTGACACCTGTTATATATTATCCGAAAAACTATAAAAACTCTTTGATACATTCATTCTGAATATAAAACAATATATTATGAATATCCAGTTTTGGTAGAAAAAATACATCTATTGTTAGTCGCTGTGACCTTAACAAGCCGGATTTGGACTACATACTGCCATCCGTTAAATTATGACCGAGTATTGACTAGCGGTCTAGTAGCATCTTTTATGTATTTAGAAATATATCTAGAAACATGCAAAATAAATAATTTAAAATTGTGTTCCACAAAAGAAAACGCCCACTTCAATCGCTGCAAAACTATTCATTTTAATTTAGAAACTAAACTACTAAACCGATTTTAATAAAATTTATATTAAGCTAATTTGAAAGTAAATCCTTTCAGACAACAAAAGATTTTTTAAATCAGTTTATAAATGACGAAGTTCTGAGTGTACCTCAGAACTTTTATAATAAAATAAATATAAAAATAATATAAAATAATATAAAAAAATTCCTACAATCGAATAGAAAGTCTCCTCCTTTTGTAAGTTGGTTGAAAATATTACATCAGAGAATTATTTATAATACTGTAACTTTTTATAAGTAAATGTTTATTTTTTAAATTGGTTAAGTAAAAACTACTACGAGTTTAGTTTAAATATACAATCGGAACTTAACGTGATAAAAAAAATATGTACCTATTTAAAATATGCGTAAACAACGCGAAAGTTTAAAATTAACTACTACGAGTTTATCCATTACAAACAAACATACAAAAAATCTAATCTTTTCTCTGTTTAATATTAGTTTAAATACTAATTTAGAAATATATCTAGAAATTATAATATTATTTATTATTATGCCTATTAAAAAAAAAAACTAAATTCAGAAAACAAGCAACCAAGCTTCCTACAAAAGGTGGCTATATACGTCTAATCTATTTATGGTTCTATCACCGTTTAGGTGTACAAGAGCAAATATGCTAAATAGCTATGTTGCTTTGAAGGGTAAAATATAATGGTCACGTTAATTAGTCCACAGAAATTGCAGTTTATGGAAGGAACCATGAACATTACAGTATATTCTGTGACGACAATGGCCCTTTTATTGGCGATAAGCGACGGTTGTTACTTTCAATCAAGTGGGCCGTCAGCTTGTAAGCCATTCATTCTTATTTGTTTAAAAAAACTTACTGTTGCTGTTTTAAAAAGTTTATAATTTATTTATCATCATCATCATCATCATATCAGCTATTTACTGTCCAATGCTGAGTATAGGCCTCGTCCATAAGGGAGGTATTGCCAGTAGTTGCCACACTTGGCAGACTTTTCATTTTATATACCTAATCAAATAATTTAATACGGTGTTTCCCAACGGGGGGTCTACGCCCCACAGGGGGGCAATTAAAAAATGGACTCGAAGCGATTTTAACCCTCTTGCTCCAGCCCATCTAAATGTAATACTACAGGTAGATATCGGTGCCAAATTTAACAAAAACAGTAAATATAAAAAATGCTGTACATATTTATTAGGTATAATTTCGTTTGATATCACAAAAATATCAACTGGGTAATAAGAGTCGTCAAGTAAACTTTGTCGGGAAAAATTATATATGGGGCATAAAATTTTTAGAAATGTTCAAGTGGGGCGTGGCACAAAAAAGGTTGAAAAACACTGATTTAATAAGTAATTAATTAATACTGAACCACAAATAAAATTTACAGTACTGTATTCACATCCCACACGGTTATAAGATTCGCTAAAATCTTAAGGTAACCTAACTTTGGCGCACTAAGCCAGTGATTCCTAAAGTGGGTTTGTACTGTACCTAAGAATACCATAAAGAAGTAACAAATCCACGTGAC